GGGGGGGGTTGCCTGCAAGCATAAGTGTGCAACACTAAAATAAAAGACTCACAGTAGTTCCCCCCAACAGACCCTTCCCATCCCTACCCTCTCTTGGGGGACCCCTCCCTGACAAGGAACAGCTCTGGCTGGTATGTACTGTTTCTTGGCCTGTGATGGGGTAGAAAAAGTGCTGCACTAAGAGAATCTGGGATGGAACCTCAGGCAAGTCACTTAGTACCTCTGAACCCAGTTTCCTCCATCTGCAAAGTAGGGGTTAACAATTTATGGGGTTATTGTGAGGAATTAATGAGATCATAGACAGGAGAGCACTTCGCAGAGAACATGGTGAGGGGCTATTATTGTTACTCCTATGATATCAGCTCACTTTCAGACATTGTCAGGGACACAGCTCTCTTAGGGGAGCCCTGCCTGAGCTACAATTCATGAATGCTTCCCCAGTGTCCCACATACCTTCTGATTTTCATAAAACCTCGCTCCCTGAGTCTCAGAAACAAAAGCAGTAGAGTGTAAAATTTAACAGCGGACTCTGGAGTCAGGCTGCCTACTAGCTGTCTGATGTTGGGCCTCGATTTCCTCATGTGTGAAGTGGGGATAATGGCAGAACCTACCACGTAGGGTTAAATGAGTTAATAGCATAAGGCACTGCGTACATTTCCTGCTATGATGATCATCCTCACAGTCATGTTTGTGCTCTGCCCTCCCTCCCACTCAACTTAGGCCCAGCTCCAGCCCTTCTCCTGGCCCTGGGCTCCCAGGGGAGGTCACACTTACCGACTCATTGGCCTGTAGTGTCTGTGTGGCTTTGACAGCCGCTGCCCGCCGGCTTCGCTCTCGCCCCTCTTCCTGCTCCCCCTTGTCCTGGATCTCTGGCACCTCCTCCTCCCCCTCCTTCCTGGTCTCCTTTACTTCCCTCTTGGGCTCCAGCCTCTCTTCACTTGGGGACTCTCTTCTGGGAGCAGGAACCCTGGGGAACTTCTGGGAAGTCTATGGGGGGCAAGAACAAGGGCAGTGAGCCTAGAGCTCAGTCATGCTGCCATAGTGCAGGGACTCTGACCCAGCCGGGGGCTCACTTGTCCCTGCTAGTCCTGGCCTGGCCTCTATGCTATGACTCTACACCCTCCCTCACCTCGTCTGCCTGGCAAAGAAGACTGAGCCTTGAGCTCTGGGAACCTTCAGGATGAGACTGAGCACTTGAAATAGAGCCAGGGCAGGGAGGAAGCATGCCAGTTCCTCCCCACAGGCCACCTGTATTCCTGGATGGGTTCAAGGGACATGTCCTTGGGCAACGTGGTCTAGTGGAGCCAGGCAGCAGCTTGAGCTCCATTCTAAACTATCTTGTAACACTTTCTGTATCTCCATCCCCTTCCCGTCTGCAGAATGGGGACCAAACCACTCCCTGTCTTAGAACAGCATGTCACCAAGTGTGGACTTGTAACCTCAGGATGACTTTAGGTGGATATACGAAAACAGAATTAAATAACATTCTCTTTTCAATTCTCTTTCAATCCTGATTTTGTTAAGGACAAAGTCTCGAACTGATGTTAATGTGTCTTTTATACTTCTCTAGACTTAAAGAGAGGTCAGAGCCCAGTTTCAGAGCCTTGGCAGGTAATAGTATCTAGCTAGAATTTAATAACATTGTTTGACTTTCATACACTATATTTATTTTTACGAGTACCTTCTACTGCGAGCAATACTGGTTTTCTATTTATGATTGTGATATAAAGCTTCCCTTTAGAGTAAAACATGAGTTAATTTTAAAAATATTGAGTAATAGCACAAGCGGTATGTGGAAATGACAAAAATAGTAATGGCAAAATATGGCAGGATGCAGAAATAACAGAACTCATAAAGGTGACACAAGAATGGCTAAAGTTTGGGAAACTGTTAGAGGTCTGCTACCAAGGGACAATAAATTGATGCTGGTGCAAATACTGTGGGAAATTTCCCCCAAGTTCTGCATCAACACAAGGATTATTACTATGACACTGGCCAACAGAAAGGGGAACCCTAAGGTCCCTGGCCAGTGCCCAGGAGATCAACTTGGGGCGGTCAGGGACACTGCCTTCCTCTCCGGGCGCCTCAGGTTCCCAGCTCAGCCCTGGACCCAGCCCAGCCCAGGCTCTCAGCAGCTGAGGATGGGAAGGGAATCACCTTAATATCCACTTCAACCTCTTCCTGGGCCGACTTATCGTCACTTGTATCCACATCCCCAAAGGTGAGTGTCCCATTGCGGCCAATTTTCACCTGCTTCTTGTAGGTGTAGTAGAACTCCACACACTGGGCCACGGTCTTGGTCTGGATCTGGTTTGAAACCAAAACTGAGGTCAGAGTCTAGTTCAGCTCACCTGCCTGGGGATACTCCAGCCTTTCTCATGTCTCCCCTTAAGCTTAGCAAACACCAAACTCAATCAACCCCCAAAATATAAGCATTTCTCTAACACCTGCTCTGTACAGACCACTGACCCATTCAATTAACCAAAGCTTCAGCACTACTTTTTTAAAAACCTAAAAAGGTGAATATGCAGCCAGTGAGGGGATTTGAATATGGATTACATGATAGTATTATTTATCAGTTTAAGTTTCTTTGACGATAATGCTTCTGTGGTTTTATAGGGGAATATCCTTGTTTTTAGGAAATATTTGGGTCAAGTGTCATGGTGTCTGTAACTTACTTTTAATTATTAATTAAAACAGAGACAGAGAAGAGGTGCATGTTTAAGTTTATATACAGACAGAAAGCAAATGTGGCAAATGTTAACAACGGGTAAATCTAAGTGAGGGGTATATGGGTGTTCATTATACTATTCTTTCAATTTTTCTGTAACTTTGAAATTTTTCAAAATAAAAAGTTAAAGGGAAAAAAGTCTGGCCCTGGCAGGTGTAGCTCAGTTGGCTGGAGCGTCACCCTGTACACCAAAAAGTGGCGGGTCTGATTCCCAGTCAGGGCCCACACCCAGGTTGCAGGTTTGATCCCCAGTCGGGTTGAGTGTGGGAGGCACACAATCGATGTATCACTCTCACATCAATGTTTCTCTCTCCCTTCCTCTCTCTCCCTTCCTCTCTCTAAGGTCAATAAAAAAAATAAAAAGAAAAGATTCTTTTTTTTAAAAAAAAGAGAAGAGTCTGGGCACCCTCCACATTCAAAGCCAGGATAGACCTTGTAACATAGACTCCCTTCATCAATGTGGACAACATTTCATTCCTCTCCAGGGGGCAGTGACTGACAAGTGAGGATAGAGAAATGTCAAATTATCAAAGGAGACTAATAATAAGAAAGCCCTGGAAACCTGAAGAGGAAGCAGGAAGCCCGAAGCAGGAAGCCTTGTTCCTAACTCTGCCACTAAATAGCTGGGTGGCCTTAGATAAGTATCTTCATGTGTAAATAGTGAGTGGGGTAAGACTAGATGATCTCCAAGGGCCTCCCAAGCTCTGAAATCCTATTTCACAAATGTATTTGGCCACTGGATTTAGTTTCTGGACTACTTTCCCCCACACAGAAGACACTGTCAGAGGCTGTTTTCTCTGACTCTCCCCACTCCCGCAGACTCCCAGACTGCTCAGCCAACTGCTGGCAGCGCTGAGGTCCTGTCCACAGAGCCCAAGGGGTCAGTGAGGGTCCTCTGGGCCTGAGGAGAAACAGACATGCTCTATCTCAAAGGAATGGCCAAATCACAAATTTAATAATTAGATCCCATTTGCACTTTTACTGTCAATTCTGTCTGATCATCTGTTTGACTGACTAATGGTCTGTTCTTTTCATTAAGGCATTAGGGGCGCTTCAGTGAATTTCACGGGCATGCGCTTCCTGGAAATACTGCCCCATCAGGAGCCCAGCAAATGTCTGTCCTCACAACAGGGCCCTTGTAGGAGAATTCATCAGCCCTTTGTCTAGTCACCAGAGCCATCCTTGGCACAATCTACCATCCCAGGAGGAGAGCGCACTCACTCTCCCACAGCCTGGATTTTGCCAGACAGAGCTGGTGGGAAGATGCAAGGCCTCAGATTAGCAAAGCACTTGAGTCCCCTAGAAGAACATAGGGAGAGGACAAGATAAATCTAGGACAACTAGGCTCGGGCCTCCTCTACCTGGTCAGTTGAGTTACTGGAAAGAAGCCCTGGGTGTGACAAGTGGGCAGAGGCCCCCACCCAGGTCAGTTACACAGTCACTTGTTGGCTCTCAGTTTCCCTTATCTTAGGGTGACCTCTCCTCCCACAAACTAACTGTGGCCTTCAAAGTACTCCAGCCCCCTGGGGGACGGCTCACTCACCTCCGCTCAGCCCTCCCCCTCTTCTTGCTCTCCCCCAGGCAAGTCACTATTTTAAGTTTGGTGCCACTGAGCCTGATGTCTACTCAGGCCTCCCTCTGGATTAAGACCCCAGGGTGTGGCCACACTACCCTAAGGTGAGGGAAGGTGGCTTAGAATCAAGGGGGGAAAGTCCTGATCTTTTCCTCTTGTTTTGTTTAGAAAATTGTCTCTGAGGCTACTTAGTGCACTGAATTAAGTGCTTTTTAAGAGGGCTTGGTAAGCGACTGCAGGCCCCCATGGCAGAGGGAGCCCCAAATCCTGCAGGCAGCTCTTGCCCTCAAATGCCCCTGAAACAGAGCCCCAGCTCACCAGCTTCTGCACCAGGAAGAAATCCTTCTTGTAGATGGCAATGCCCTTGTTGAACAGCTTCCTCTCAGACATCTTCCACTGGTCGGAGCCTGTGGGGCAAACAGGGAGCCGGGTAGTGAGGTGAGAGGGACTGTGAGCATTGCGGGGGCAATTCTGACCAGCAGACAAGTGTGAGGTCATCCATCCATGGTCAGAGCTGGCTCCACAGCCTGCTTCTGCACTTACTAGCCCTGTCACTTAGCCTCTGAACCTCACTCTCCTCACTTGTGAAATGGGAACTAATAACAGAAGCCACCTTTGCAGTCAGTCGTGCAGGCGAAGTGAGATCATGCATGTGAAATGCTTGGTGCTCTGCCTGGCACAGACGACATGGACCACTCAGCAGGGATCAATAACAGTGGCTGCTATGATTGTGCCCAGTTGGGCAATGTCCCTCTTAAAGCACAGGGCCCAGAATGTCCCTCTTAAAGCATAGGGCCCAGAATGGGACATGGCACTCCAGGGGTTGTCTAAGTCCCAGGTACCTGATGCCAGTTTGGACTCCTTGGGATCCTGTCCCTTGTACTGTCCTGGGTTTCTCTGCCTGGACGGGCTCCCACCTACCAGTGTCCTTCTCACTTCCTCTCCAGGGCACAGTAAGCCCCTTGAGAGCTACGCCAACTTTGGTGTCAGTGCCTTCACTCTGGCTCTTAGCTTATCCACCCCCACCTCCCCACCCAGGGCTGTGACTCAGCACTAACTGGGCCCCACTGATGGGAGACCCCTTGAGGCTCCAGGCCCTATACCCACCCCCAGCCAGGCCCACCTGTGTAGTGATAAGTTGCCAGCGGGTGGTTGTGGGGCCTCAGGGGCTTCTTTAGTAGCAGCTTATTCAGCGTTTCCTGAAAGGGAAGTGAAGAAAAGTTCAGGGCCCTGGCAGGGGTTTCAGTGGGCAAAATTTAGAGGGCCTCCTCAGGCAGCCACAGATGGAGAGACAAGGCCCTCAGTGCAGCTCTGTCTGAGAGTGGGGACCCAGTGACCTGGAATCAGGGAATGGGGTGGACAGCACAACCCTGTGCTGCAAAGTCTGGTTCCCTTGGGCTGAGCCCCTCCAACCCCCAACTTGACTGGACCCTCCAGCCTGTCTCAAATCAGCCTGCCAGCCTCCCTGAGGGTCCCTCCCTCCACTGGGGACAGTGTCTCACCAGGATGTCTCCCCTGGATTCATGCAGACAGTGCAGGGCCAGCTCCTGGTTGGTGCCAGCTCCAGGGAAAATGCTGGAACAGGCAGCTGTGAGCAGGTCTTCCACTGCATTGTGGGAGCGAGGGAGGGAGAGAGCATGGGGAGGGAGGAGAGGAAATCACTTTCAGGGCTGGGCTGCGCTGGGTGAGGCTAGGACTAGCCCACCCACCTATCCAAAACCCCTCTTAGCTTGCTGGATCCCATCCCCTCTCACCTTGCCTCTGCTTCTCCTGGCTGCTCTCTAAGTTCTCCCATGGCTGCCACACCAAGTCGGCCTTGTGGGGGTCTGCAGCTGCCAGGGCACGGTCCCTCAATGACGGGATTTCAGCTTGGAACCGGGAGCCTACGTTGATCCGTCTGCAGGGGTGGAAAGGGCAGAGAGTGAGGCCTCACCTGGTGGGGATGGAGAATCTGACTTTCTCCCTGGGGATGGGAGAAGATGCAGAGGGCAGCCAGCAGAGGCTGAACATGGCAAGGCCTCAGCTGGGTATAAGGGAATCTGGCTTCTGCGAGGAGGTGCCTGACAGGTGGCACTAAGCACTGCCAGAAAGGCAAGGCCCAGATGTAGGAAAGGGAAGAAGGAGCTCCAGGTTTATGCACAGGGAAGGAGTCTCTCGGACCACCCTTCTAATTCTCAGAGGCAAATGCAAACCAAGCTGGTCCCTTCCTTTCCCTGGGACTTCCACACAGAAGCAGGGTGGGGAAAGTAAAACCCAGGGCTGACTGGACTGCAGAAGCCCAGTGAGGCCTGCTCAGCCCTCTACAGGCCCCGTAGAGCCCTCCTCTGCTTGCGGGGCCTTCCTGAAAGCCCTGGACCCCACTTGGCCACCCTCACACCACAGGCCAGAGGCAGGGCTACACTTACGGCTCAATGCTCACTGGGGTGGCTTCCCCCATCACAGAGAGGACAGGTGGGGTGACTTCAGCACTATCTATGGGACAAAAGGCAGGTTGGTCAATGGCACCCTCCTCCCTTCAGCAAAGCCTTCCCTCCCCAACCCCAGATGGCTGCTCTACATGGACGATTACCACAGTGGTAACTCACAGAGGTTCACATTTGTAAACCCTGAGTCTTGGCTCCCATCCTGCAATAGTGATGATTAACTGTGATTTTACCAAATATGTGGGTGTGTCCACTTTTCACGCCGACTAGAAGGGGCTCCTACTACCTACCTCCTAAGGTTAATGTGAAGATTGAATGAAATCAAGCACAAAGCCCAGACCCAGGAGTTCCCACACTACAGGTTAACTCCAACATTAAACTGTGGTTGTACTAGTAGAGGCTGAAAGTTTTAGCACTAGAGAGGTGGTGAAGGAGATCAGTGTTTCATAATTGTCTTCTCACTTCTTTGTTGAGTTCTCTGCCTCAATTTCTCCTGAGCTAATCTTCTTAATGCCTCACATGATCAAGACACTCCCTTGCTACAAAAATAAAATCTTTGCTAACTCCTCTCTGCAGTGTGAGATAAAGAAAAACTTGCACTCCCGCCCAGGTCAGTGCAGCTCAGGGTCTTGGTTCAATTCCCAGTCAAGGGGACGTACCTGGGTTGCAGGTTTGATCCCCACCCCAGTCAGGGTGCACGCAGCAGGCAACCAGTTGATGTCTCTTTCTCACATCCATGTTTCTCTCTCCACTACCACCTCCCACCCTCCACCTCCAGTCTATCCCTCCTTTCCACTCTCTCTAAAAAAAATCAGTGGAAAAAATATCCTCAGGTGAGATTAACAAAACACAACAACCAAACAACAACAAAAAACCACACTCCTCATCTCTACCTCCCACCACACTCTTGCCTGAACCTTGGATCCTAGCAGACTGGTTACCCATGGCCCATCATCACTTTCCCTGCATAGTCTTACATCCAGGCCTTTGCCCCACTCATTTCCTCCGCTGAGTGTGTCCTTCCTGCCCCCTTCACAGTTAAGCTCAGTTCTAGCCCCACCCTCTCCTGAATGCTTCCCTCCCTACCCCAGGCTAGTAGCCTCTGCAGGTATCAGAGCTGTCTGAATCACTCACCGACTGCTGATCTCACACTGCAGGGAACCTCTGCTTTTCTATCTCCCAGACCTCCATGTCAACTCCCTAATGATCCGGTATACTCCTTAGAACAGGCCGTGGTGTCCCCACACATTATTGGCCTCATAGGACCCAATTCAAGGCTTTACACCCAAGTGCTTGATAAATATTCATGCATAGACAGACTTTTTCTTTGCTGCCAATCTGGTCTCTACAGTGAATTCTTTCTGCACAACCCAGGCAGGGAGAGAAACTTTGAATCATGGAGTGGAAGTGGGAGGGCAGAAGGCCAGCCAGCCCAGGTGAGCCATTTCTCATCCACAGACACCAGGGGGCACCAGAGAGCTAAGCCATGGGTGAGGTCAGGCTCAGAGGTTAATCTGGTGATGGCACTGCCTCACCTGGGTCTACCTCTGGCGGTCTTTACTCCCACTTAATCCTATCTCCACCCTAAGAGATAGTATTATCTCATTTCGGAGGAAATGGATCCTTTTTTGGAGTGGGCAACATTTTTCAGCAATTCACCACCCACGCAGGCCAAAATGACCCAAGAAAAAGGATCTGCCACGTAATATTAAGAACAAACATGACACATCAGGCATGACGTTAAGTGCTGTACATATGTGAATGCATCTGAACCTCAGCACAACCCTGTGAGGCAGCTATGAGGGTGGACCATAGCAAACTATTTGTGGATCTAAAAACAGTTGATTATTGGCAATTACATCATCAACCAAACACTACTAATATTCTCATCTAAACACTGGAGAAACAGATGCCCAGGGAGTTTCAATGGCTTGCACAAGAAATGTAATAGTAAATGTGGTGCAATTGGGATTTGAATCCAGGCAGTAGGGCTGACACCCCTCCCCCACCCTCATATGTTCTTGAACCAAGACAACTTCCTCCTCTCTCTCTCAGAAAAGAGAAAGTGGAGCCTTTCCTCACAGCATTCCAGCCCAGTCCCAAGCAGCCCCATAAAATGAGTCTCCTCCCAGCCCACTGCCTTCCCTCTCCGCATGGACACTAAAGCAAGGGTTACTCACTAGACCGGAGCAGGGTTCGATGGGCACTCTTTGGCGTGATGGGAGGAGGGGCTGGGATGCTGCTCGTTGACATGATGGCATTGAAATAGAGGCCGGAGCCTTCCCGCACAGGGCTGAGGATGGGAGGTGGTGTATAGGGGGGCAGCTCAAAGCTCCGTTCAGAGGGATGGTCTGCCAGGCGGACAGGAGAGCGCAGGTGGCTCTGGTATGGGGTGATGTTGGAGTAGACCGGAGGGGCGATAAAAGTGCCCGCCTTGGTGGGGATGATCAGGGGCTCAGGCCGAGGCCGCTGCTTTGGTTTCCGCACCGAAGGTTCCCCCTCCAACTTGATATTCATATCTTCAGCCTGGAGAAGGAAACAACCAAAGATGGCTCAGCCTCCTATGTCCTAGGAAACTGAAGTCTTGACCACTGCTTGCTGGTCTCACCTTTGGAACTTAGTCTGCCAACCACACCCATCAAGGCAAGCCTGAGCCCGGCCAGTGTGGCTCCGAGGTTGAGCATTGACCTACGATCCAGGAGATCCAGGTTCTATTCCTGTCAGGGCATGTGCCCAGGTTTCAGGCTCTATCCCCAGCAGGGGGCATGCAGGAGGCAGCCAATCAATGACTCTCATCATTGATATTTCTATCTCTCTCTCCCTCTCCCTTCCTCTCTCGAAATCAATAAAAATATATTTAAAACAAATTAACAAAAACACAAAAAACAAGGCAAGCCTGTGACAGGTGGCAGGTCCAAAGCCCTTCTTATTGCCTCCTCTAGAGTAGTGACCAGCAAACTGTTTCTGTCAAGGGCCAAACAGTAAATTTAGGCTGTATGGACCACATGTGGACTGTGTTATATATTTTTCTTCCCCAGTCCTCCTACCCCCATTTTCAAAAATAATCCTTTAAAAATATAAAAACCATTCTTACGTCTGAATTTGGGCCACAGCCCGTAGTTCCTGCTGTAAAGTATGTTATAGGGCAGAGGACTATAGTAGTTAAGGGCCCAGGCTCTGGAGCTGGATTGCTTGGATGGGATCTACATCCTTTACTTACCACTTAAAATAAATAACTTAACTCTCTGTGTATCATCATTTTTAACATGGGTATAAGTGCCTACGTAATGGGGCAGCTATGAGGACTAAGAGAATTAACACATGGAAATCACTGAGAGCAGACCTGGTACATAGTAACTGCTCAATAAATCCTGGCTGCTATCACTACTTAAACTCTAGGTTCTGCATTAGATGGAAACCCCTAATGTGTGACAAGACCTGAACTGGGCATGGGACCCATGTCCAACAAAATGAACGGGACAGTCCTGTCTTCAAAGAACTTTTGTTCTCACAGTATTAGTCCTACTATCAAAGGCTAGCCCACTCATGCTGTCAAAAGTTAGCCCTCCTGGCTTACACTTCTCCCTGTTTGGTATGCCTCATGGGTCTCCATAGAAAATAGAAGGCAGGGCTGTAAGTAAGAGGCCTATGGGGGTAGCCACCTCCCGCTCATCTCCCTAGGTGCACAGTCTGCCTGCCAACAGGTGAAGTTGGCCATGTTGACTGGGAGGGCCTGGGAGCAACAGGCTTTTCCCCTTCCCAGGTTCCTACTCTCACAAGACCTTCCAGTGGAGGGCCCTGACTGCCCATGGGGCCTTGGCCATGTCCTTTAGTCACCTGTGCCTTCTCTGCTCTTCTGCAGACTCCTACACAATGATACTGCTCATTCTTCTTCCCTTAGAGAAACAATATGATTGAACAGAAAAAAAATGCAGCAGAGCCAAAGGCCCCTAAACTTGCTAGATAAGAAATCCAGCCTGAACTAAGACAGCTGCAATGATTTGTAATTTTAAAATAAGGGAAATGGATTTAAATTACTCTGAATACTTGAAAGGAGGGACGTCCTTATGTATGATGTACTTTAGATACAAACCAAAGTATTTACAGTTGCAACAATATGATGTTGGGGATTTGCTTCCAAAAAATCCAGTGGCAGGGAGAAGTGGAGGTACAAATGAAAGAAGGTCAACTATATTCTGATGGCTAAATATTGGGGTTCATTATACCATTCTCTATACTTCTGTGCAAGATTGAAAATGTCTGTACTACAAAGACAAATAACTGAATAACTAAATAACAGGAAATAAACCTCCCCCAAAACTCTGGTGTAGGGAAAGTACCCACGGACAGAGATTCCGGAGTTCCAAATTCCAGGGCTAGTTCTGCCATTACTTTGCAGGATGTTCTTAGGTTTGCCTTTACTGAATCTATTTCCTCATCTTTGAAATGAGTGTGTTGAGCTGTGTAGTTGCTCAGACTTTCTGCCCATCCTCAGGACAAGTTTGCCAGGCTTCCAGCCTCCACCACAAACTTTCTCCCAACTAGAGAATAAGACCCCAGAGAGCAGAGTCTATGCTGCTCATAATCTTGGGGCCCCTGTTCTTGTTACAGAGGACAGGCATTTAGGCCAGCTTTCCAGCTGAGAATAAATGAAAACTCTGGACTCTATATAAAAACCACATTTCTGAAGGTATCAGAGAGAGCAAATAAGTTGGCCAAAAAATTTTAAAAAGCCAAGATCCAGGAAAAGAAGGAAAGTTAAAGAGGTGGACCAGCATTTGGAGTTGTTTTCTCTAGAGTGGATGCTGTGACTGGAAGAGGCAACTGAGAAGCTGAGAAATTGAGTAGAAGCTTTTAATAAATTCAAGGAGCTAGCAGAATAAAACATGGAGTTTAGGGCTTGTCAAGGAAGCAGAGCCTGGTAAATTCCCTGGATGTGGACTGGAACTCCAAAGGGCTATACCCTCAGAATAGAGGTGAATGAGATATAGACTAGTCTTCACGTGGAATAATGCCCAGCTTCAAATCATCTCATCTCTACCACAATTTAATCTCTGGTTAAATTGAAGTAATCCAGGATAGCTGGTGCTCTTTGCTACCTGTCAGATGCAAAGATAAATTCTCTCTGGAAGAGGAAAACATCATCCAGAGTCTTTAATTACCTCAATAACTTTTCATATATAATGTCTGACATTCAATAAAAACAAACAAATATATAAGAAAGCAAGATGTGATTTAAACACAAGAAATAACAGATAATAGATAAAGACCTATAGGAATCCCATTAATCGAGTTATAAGAAATGAACTTGGTTGGGAATTTCAACAAAGAACTAGAAACTCTAAAAATGAACCAAATGTAAATCTGATAACTGAAAAACTAAATATAACTCAATGAATGGGCTTAATAACACATTAAACCTAGCTAAAGAGAATTGGTAAACTGGAAGATAGATCAAACTAAAAAAAAAAGAAAAAGAAAATAGAAAAATATAGAAAAGTGCATGACAGACAAAATAGGAGATATGGTGAAAAGCTCTAACAAATGTGAAAATGGAGTCCCAGTAGAAGAAGAGAGAGAAAATGGGGCAAAAGAAATATCGAAGAAGCACTACAAACTCTAAACAGGATAATTACAAGAAAACCACATTTAGGTATAACAGCAAAACTGCTGAAAATGAATGACAAAAAAAAAATCTTAAAAGTCTTATGTTCAAAGGAGCAACAATATAGCTTACAGCGATTTCTCAACACTGTAACTACAATGGAAGCCTGAGGACAATAGAATGATATCTTTATCTTTTTTTAAAACGTGTTTTTATTGATTTTAAAGAGAGGAGAAGGGAGAGGGAAAGAGAGAGAGAGAAACATCAATGTGAGCGGAAAACATCAACTGGCTGCCTCCCACACGCACCGCGACTCGACCAGGGATCGAGCCAGCAACTTGGGCATGTGCCCTGACCAGGAATCGAACCAGCAATCTTTCATTGCACTGGGCAGTGCTCAACCAACTGAACCACACTGGCCAGGCTAGAATGATATCTTTAAATTTGCCAAAAGAAAATAACTACCAACACAGAATTTTCTACCTAGCACAGTTGTCTTTCAAAAATGAAGATGAAATAAAACATATTCAGACAATCAAAGAGTAATAAAATTCATCGCTAACAGACTCACACTACAGGAAATGCTAAGGATGTTCTTCAGGCAGTACATAAATGATCTGAGATAGGGGCCTGGTGATATGAGAAGAAATAAAAGCAACAAAAACAGTAAATATCTGAGTAAATCTAAAATGAATAAATGAACAAAACAAAGCAATAATGTTATAACATCCTGTCAGTGTTAAAATATATATAGAGAAAAAATACATGCCAGTAATTGTACCAGTTAGGGATTGGGGGAAATGGAGTTAGATGTGTTTTAAAAACTTCACATTGTCCAGGAAGACATAAAATAATAACTTACATTAGATTTCAGTAAGCCAAGAATACATATTTCAATCTCTAGTAGTAGCCCTTCTCAACCAGAGAAAATCCCTAATATTATAAGGCATTCACTGTATGTAATGAGTTAACATCTCTCCTATACATCTAGAATTGTACTAGCTATGTACCACCTCCAGAGAACTGAGAAAACAGGCACTCGAATCCCTTACTATAGGGCTTAATTCTCTCATAGAAATCCAGGTAAGAAAGGCTGCTAGGGTAATCACTAAGAGAGTGATAAATAAGTATATAACTAATGAGTTAAGGACGAAGGGAAATGAAATTACAGACCCAATCACACCAAAGGGGAAAAAAGGAGTGGTGGTGAAAGAAACAGAAAAGGCAGAATGGGATAAATAGAAAGCAAACAGATGGTAGATTCAAAACCGAGTACATCAGTAATTACATTAAATGTAAACTGTAATCCAGGTTACTAAAACAGATAATAACAAACCCCAATTATATGACACTTGAAAGATACACCTTAAGTAGAAGGATACAGAAAGGCGGAAAGTAAAAAGATGGAAGAGATACACAACCCCTGACACTAACCAAAAGAGAGCTAGCCTGGCCCGGTGAGCGTCATCCTGTGCACCAGGAGGTCATGGGTTCAATCCCTGGTCAGGGCACAGCCTGGGTTGTGGGCTCAGTTCTCAGCAGGAGGCGTGCAGGAGGCAGCCTATGATGTTTCTCTTTCATTGATATTTCTCTCCCTCTCCCTTCCTCTCCCTCTAAAAATCAATAAAAACATATATTTTTAAAAAAAGAAAGCTAAATATTTGGAAAAGTAGACTTTAAAAGGCAAAAAGATTACTGAAGATAAAAAGAAACATTTCATAGTGATAAAGTGTCTAATCTAGTTCAAAATGAACATGCAACTAATAACATCACATCAAAATGTATAAAACATACCAACAGAACTAAAAGAAGAAATGGACAAAACCTCAATCTTAGCAGGAGATTTCAACATGCACGTTTGTACCGATAGAACAAGCAAGTATCGCTACGTCCCAGTGCCTAGCACAGGGCCTGACCCATATTAGAAGCCCAATCAAAATTTGGTGACCTGAAATGAAAGAGATTCGCACATCCTACATTTTTCTAGACAGTCCCAATTTCAAGTATAAAACCGTCTCATCATCTCCCATAGTGCACTTATACAGTTTGGTCTGGAAAATAGAAATGGTATCCCCATGGGTTGCTTGAATGGCTCCTACAGTCACACTGTCTTTTCCCCATAGGGTACCAGGTCCCCAGGAGCACTCAGGTACTGGAGGTGTTTGCATGGGGAGCCTCTCATACCTGAGCTGAGGCATCAGTTCCGGGGACACGGGTGGACCGCCTGCGGGTAACAATGACCGACGGCTTGTGTTCAGTAGGGTTGTGTTCAGGACCCTTCCCATCCTCGTCAACACCTCCAGCTTGGGCTGCCTCAGTTGGGTCCACAGTCCGCACAGGCACAGACACTGGGATAATGAGAGGCACCATCCCGCTGTCCTCTCGTGCTCGCTTGGCAGCTAAGGCAGGCTCAGAAAACTCCACCCCACACTTTGTAGTTGAAGCCAACACACTTTTCCGCTTCTCCTCAGAGCCATTGGCATCCTGGAGAAGGGAAAGGAGGGGGAATGGAGGTGAGATTCAGAAGGTAAGTCCCGATTTGCTGGTCTAGGCCCCCTAGCCCCATTTGATTCAGGGATTCAAACACCTATGATGGTTCCCATGGTCTCTGATCACTTGGCCTTTCCCTGACCACCTTTCCTCCCACCACAATACTCCCAAATGTTCTCTATAACCTCCTTCCTTCCAGGTTCCCCCATCCTGGCCTAGAGCAGATTCCCAGATGGCCATTTCAGGCCACAGGTGCCTCATAGATGTTTTGCTTAGCCTGCAGTGAGTGACATGTGAAAAAGTATCTAAATATTCAAAACATATCTCTGTAAAGGAAAGTAAGCAAGGAACCTGTGGCAAGCTAAGGATGGTCTTTGTATCTGTTTCCCCCTTGGCAACCGGCTGGAGTCAAGTCAAATTCTGCAGCCTCCTACATATCAGCTTGGCCCCACAGGCATTGGGGGTTGAGACCTCAAGTGAAAGAAAGGGAAAGTACTAGCTTTGGAGTCAGCCACTAGGCTTCTAGGCTAGCTTTATGACCTTGGGAAATCCCACTTGAGGCTCAGTTTCTCTAGCAGTAAAACCGGATAAATGAGAGCATCCCTCTGCTAGGGTTTAATGACAGGGTTCAGTAGGGTTGTGTTCAGGACCCTTCCCTTCACATCAAAATGTATAAAACATATACTGGCAGAACTAAAATAAGAAATGGACAAAACCTCAATCTCGTGTAAGAGACTCTAAGTACAATATAGGTGCTCACACTCTGTTCATTCTTCCCCACAGTTGTCTTTTCCTTTAAATCAACTTTACTGCAGTATACTTTATACAACAAAATGCATCTATTTCTAATTATAGTTGGATGCATTTTGACAAGTATAATCACCTGTGTAATGACTACTACATTATTGTCTTTCAGCATACTGGATCTGGAAATCGTTTCACCTCCCACTACTCCCAGTCCTTCAAGTCCCAAATGAAGTAGCCAACTCATGATGGTATATTGCGCTTCCTGCTCACAACCCCTCAGAACTCTTTGCATGCATGGAGATTCTCTGCATGCTCAGAGTTCAGAATTCCGAAATGTATGGCTTCTTTCAGTTCCTTCAATGAAGTGAGAAAAGAGCCCTTGTGGACCTGGAGTCACTTGCTCTCCCCGCACACAACTAACCCCACCCTCTGCCAGATCTGGCCACTCTTACCGTTGCGTTCTGCAGTGAGGCTAGCTCCGCTGCCTTATGGGCCAGGGTCAGCAAATTGGCCTCCTGGGACGCCCGGCGTCTCCTCCTAGTGCTCTGGATCACCCCACCCCGTAGCACCTGCCCACAGTCCCCTGTGCCCACTGCCCGCATGCCCTCCTCGCTGCCCATGGCGGGAGCCTCTCGCTCCCGACCATTGGGTGCCAGTCTCTCCCCATCAGGCAGCAACTGTGACTCCCTCAGCTCCAGCGGGTATCCCAGAGCTTCAGGATGCGGCTGTCCCAGGGGACCAGGTGGTGGCTGCTGCGGGGGCCAGTGATGTAGAAACAGGTTGGTGGCAGGCTCCTGCCCAGGCTGGGTGCCAGCCCCATCCAGGGCAGCGGAAGGCAGGACGCCCTCCTTGGAGAGGCGTCGGGAGCGGCGGGGGAAGGCGATCTGGGCCTGAGGTAGCACAGGCTGCGAGGCTGACTCCTGCAGGAGGGCCTTGCGCAGTTCTGGGTTCATATCAGGATTGGGGGGGAAAGGGTAGGGCACCATGCCGTGGTGAGCCAGGTGGGACTGCCCCAGTGGCCCGGCCGGCTGCAGACCGAAGTCCTGGGGCTGCTGAGAGGGTGGCTGCTGCATGGGATAAAAGTTCTCAAAGAGCTGCATCTGGGGCAGGGCTGCCTGTTGCTGCTGCTGCTGCTGCTGCTGCTTCTGCAGTGGGTAGGCGGCCACGGGGTTGGGGGGCGGTGGGCCCTGCCGGAAGACCTGCCGGTTCACCTGGTGGCCAAACGCCAGCTGGAAGGGCTGCAGAGGCAGAGTTTGGTTTGGGGGCTTTTTGGCCACATGGAACGAGTTCAGGGGTGCTTGGGGCCGCCCCACCTCCTGCTGTACCTTCTGTGGCATCATTGGCCGCACAGTGTTTCCGTAGCGGTCCAGCTGCGGCCCCCCTCCTTTCTCCCGCTTCAGTGCCTCGGGGTGGTTATAGTAGGCAGAGACCCCCATGCCAGGATGGGGGCTCCCCTTGTGTCCACTGTAGACAGGCAGGCAGTTCCATGTTGAGTGGGGTGGAGGCTGGCCCGGCTGCTGCTGCCAACCACTGTCACTGACACTCCCACCCCCTCCCCTCTCGGGGCCCCGCCCGGGGGCCATCACAGAGTTGGGCCACTTGACGGGGCCCACCTGCTGGGACAACATAGTAGAGGTCCGCTCAGACCCATATACCACAGAGTTCAGCAGGGCCAGGCTGTTGGAGAGCTCCACAGGCTGGGAGGCAGGGGCAGCCCCTGTGGGACCCTCGTGCCCAAAGTAAGGCTCCTCCTTCACTCTGGTGGACTGTGGAGGGGCCGGGGGCTGTTGTGGGGCCTGCAGGGATGGGGGCTGCTCCTTGGGAGCTGCTTCCTGGTCCCCAAAGAGGCAACGCTTCCGCTTGTTCTGACCCTTGGGCTGGGCCTGGAGGTTCATGATGTGGCCAACTGGGCCCCGGCAGTGAGACCTACTTTACCAGTTGCCCATCCCCTGGGGGAAGGTGTTGGAAGTCCCCCCTCCAGTCCAAGAGTCAGTGGGAGCTGAACAGGAGAAGAAAAAAGTACTGGGTGATGCAGTCAGGTACAGGGAGAAAGAACTGCTGGTTGTTCCTTCTTCACAGAGACACTCTTGATCTTGTCTGCTCTTCCCAGTTCATGATGCTCCACAGGGTCCTGGAACCTGCAGACAAAAGCACAGTAACAGGGTCAGCCACAGTCTCCCAGGATGCCCCAGGGGGCAGCACTAGTGCAAAGGAGGGGCCTCTAAGGCCCTGCGCTCCATTTGGTGTAATTTGTGAACCGCACAAAGGTGTCTGCCAACGGGGCACATGGGGCTGTGATCCAGCCTGAGCTCCTGTGGTCAAGCTGGGCAAAGGGGCAACAAAGACCATGCCAGCTTCCTTCTTCCTCTTAAGCCAGGCCTCAGTCCACTAGGCAGCCAAGCCTGGTCCTCTCACATCTGTCTAGGCAGTAACCTCCCCACCAGATCCAGAAGGAGCTTTATTCAGCCAATGCCTCGTCTGATGCTCCAAGCACATCTCAGACACAAAAAGTGGAGACAACAGGGGTCATTCCCAACTGTGCCACCCCAGGGTCAGGAGCCCACCAGGTCCTTGCAGAGTCCAGGGCCCAGGGCTAGGATGACGTCCTTTGCACAGAGGCTTGCAGGTGAGGCCTCAGAAGGGTGTGTATCGTCCTAGCCCCACCCCTGGGAGGAGCTGCTGGATGGGACTGTGGCTGCCAGAGTCTTCTCCAAACTAGCACAGAAACCTGTTTTGCAGCCCCGTCTGGCTGGAGGCAGGATGCTGCCTGGTAGCTGGTCAGCAGTGCTTACCCACCCTCCTCCACTGCCAAAGAGTTCCTGGCATCCCGAGCAAAGGAGATGATACTGAAGGAGTACAGATTGCTAGAACTTAGGTCTGAATGGTTTCTCTATGGCATGGCGTGACTAAGTGCTTCTGTGTTTGTTTTCTAACTTGATTAAAAAACCCCACAAAAAACAGGTTGCCCTATTTATCCTGCTATAAAACAGAATCAAGACCAGTATAACTTACGTGTGTTTTTACTACTTGCATGTATTTTCAAAGACTCTTTCTTCAGAAAGGGTTATATTCTCCTCCCTGAGCAGTTGGTAAGGGGTGGGAGCTACATGACCCACCTCTTCCCCAGGCTAATGTTCTGGTCCTGAGCCAGGCAGGCTGGGAGGGGAAGGGAGGGGAGCTAAGGAAGCCCTAGGAATACATCTGCAAGTCCAGGCTGACCTCAGACCTCAGCCCCTATATGCTGCAGGACACTGTTCGCAGCCCAGGCGTTCCCAGGAGACCAGCAGACAGCAGAGGAGGACCAGGGCTGGGCGGTACCTGGCAGGCGCTGGTACGAAGCCCGGCTACACCCCAAGATGCCCCGGCCCCAGGGAGGCCCAGTGCTATCACTGCAGTGCAGGCTTCCGCAGCTCCCCAGCCCTTCCCCTCCCAGAGCCCTGACTCACTCCAGGCCCCCTGCCTGCCTTTCACTTTCACCCCACACCCAGAAGGGGAGGAACTTCCTCCTCTTCCTCCTCTATTTCCTTCCTCAGCTCTTAGCCCTGAAATGACTGAGAGACTCTCCAGCTTGCACCCCCTTTGTCTTCACCTGTGGAAACTGGAGGAAGAGAGGCTAGGAGGGCGCCCAAGTCTCCCTGGCCCCAGCTCGAGGGGCAGGATTTGGACAAGCAGAGTGCTGAGGGCCACAGAGTCTCTTTTGAACAAACCCCTTTCCCTTGCTTTAAACTCTCACTCCCTGACAGTCAACCCAATTCAGAGCAGAAACCCAAAGGCTAGCCCCAGACTGAACATAACCCTGGGAGCCATGGTGAAGCTGCAAGATGGGACTGTCCCGGCAACAGGAGCTGGGCTCTGCCTCCCAACCGGCAGGAACGAACTAGCAGGACGTGTCTGCAGAAGCAAGACAGAGGCAGGAAGGACGTGCTCGAGGGGAGGGGAGG